GTGCCCTTAGAATGATACCTTTATCGGCAATAATTCCTTAAAAATGGGTTAAGTCAACTTTGGGACTTAGTTTTCCAAAAAAAAACACTAAACTCGGAAAAGAATTTCAAATTTTGCTATATAACTAAGTTGAAAATAAACGATTATTGTACACTGAGGATAAGCAAAATTCGTCGGTGACAACATAAAAAATCTACATAATCAAAATTAAAAAAAAACAGTAATTTCTTCTGGATTATTTATTGAATATGATCACAGATATTTCGGAAAAAATGTATCCCATCGATGGCACTGAGTTGAATTATTATACACGTTTGGTCAGCTGATTGAGATAAGTGACATTTACAGATTTATTCTGCGCTGGTAATAAAAACTTTGTAACCGGTAAATAAAGTTCCTGAAAATTTTTAAACCCTTCTCGTATTCTATGTACTCTTGTAACCGGTTAATTTTGTTACCATCTAATAAGCTGGCAACAAAGTATTGGCCCGTGAAATATGCAATGCCAGTATTTGCACAATTCTTCATAGCTGAATATTTTAACTGCGTAACAAACGTACACTCTAAAAAATCTGTTTAAAATTGTGACTATATATCGAGTATACTTTTGTGTATTTTTAAATTTTTTTGTAAATTTACACGATGAATATGTATTTTTCTCGTTTACACATTTTCGTGTGTAAAAATCCTTTTTGTTAGCGGCTTTACACAATTCTACGGGTGAAATCAAACAGCAGATGTGTATTTTGTAGCTTGTACACACTTTCATAGTAAATTTACGCACACCACAGCAGCTATGTTACGCTCTAAAAAGTCCGAAATTTAATCAAACATAATAAGGTAGGAAATCAGTAACCTACCTTTTAGCTAGGAAATCTACAATTTTTTTTTTTTAGAGTGTACCTAGAATCGCGGGGACAAGAACTGGTAAAATTTTTTGGTAATAAAATAATCCGCTTAAAAAATCTTCGTTGTTTGTTTTAATAGCTGTTTTTCCGCCTGGGTACCTAATAAAATAAATACACAAACTGATTGACTTGGCGGCTGCATCGCAGTACCAGACTGAAATAATATTAACTGCAGCTGCAACAACAAAACAATTTTATTACTTAAATATTTAATTTTTTTTGTTTATTTAATATTGCTTTTGTTTGCATAGAAAAATGCTTTCTTAAGCACTTCGCTAAAATTTGTAAAGTGTCGTGCCGTAACCTCGTTGCATCCACTCTCTCTCTCTCTCTCTTTCTCTCTCTCTATGTCAGTTGTCTCTTTTTAGCGCGTCACATGGTAGCTTCCCTACAAGACATTGCTGAGCACTTTAGGCAAAAATTCTCACACA